TGCACTTCGGAGTCTGTGGAGACAAAGAACTTTGTCCTTGGAGGCAAAGAGGGGAATGTATGAGAGTATAGTTTTACCAATGCTCTTATATGGGTGTGAAGCATGGGTGATGAATGTTGCAGCGAGGAGAAGGCTGGAGGCAGTGGAGATGTCATGTCTGAGGGCAATGTGTGGTGTGAATATAATGCAGAGAATTCATAGTTTGGAAGTTAGGGGGAGGTGCAGGATTACTAAAACTGTTGTCCAGAGGGCTGAGGAAGGGTTGTTGAGGTGGTTTGGAGATGTAGAGAGAATGGAGCGAAACAGAATGACTTCAAGAGTGTATCAGTCTGTAGTGGAAGGAAGGCGGGGTAGGGGTTGGCCTAGGAAAGGTTGGAGGGAGGGGGTAAAGGAGGTTTTGTGTGTGAGGGGCTTGGACTTCCAGCAGGCATGCATGAGTGTGTTTGATAGGAGTGAATGGAGACAATTGGTTTTTAATACTTGACGTGCTGTTGGAGTGTGAGCAAAGTAACATTTATGAAGGGGCTCAGGGAAACCGGCAGGCCGGACTTGAGTCCTGGAGATGGGAAGTACAGTGCCTGCACTCTGAAGGAGGGGTGTTAATGTTGCAGTTTAAAAACTGTAGTGTAAAGCACCCTTCTGGCAAGACAGTGATGGAGTGAATGATGGTGAAAGTTTTTCTTTGTCGGGCCACCCTGCCATTGTGGGAATCGGCCAGTGTGATAATAAAAAAATAATAATAATATATAATATATCCCTCCAAACTGCCAATATCCCAAACCCCTCCTTTAAAGTGCAGGTATTGTACTTCCCATTTCCAGTACTCAAGTTTGGCTATATAAAAATAACCGGTTTCCCTGAATCCCTTCACTAAATATTACCCTGCTCACACTCCAACAGCTCGTCAGGTCCCAAAAACCATTCGCCTCCATTCACTCCTATCAAACACGCTCATGCACGCTTGCTGGAAGTCCAAGCCCCTTGCCCACAAAACCTTCTTTACCCCCTCCCTCCAACCTTTTCGAGGACGACCCCTACCCCACCTTCCTTTCCCTACAGATTTATACGCTCTCCATATTGTACTTTGATCCATTCTCTCTAAATGATCAAACCACCTCAGCAACCCCTCTTCAGCCCTCTGGCTAATATTTTTATTAACTCCACACCTCCTAATTTCCACACTCCAAATTCTCTGCATAATATTTACATCACACATTGCCTTTAGACAGGACATCCCCACTGCCTCCAACTGCCTCCTTGCTGCAGCATTTACAACCCAAGCTTCACACCCATGTAAGACAGTTGGTACCACAAGACTTTCATACATTCCTTCTTTACCTCCATAGATAACATTTTTTGTCTCCACATATACCTCAACGCACCAGTCACCTTTTTTCCTTTGTCAGTTCTATTGTTAACCTCATCCTTCATAAACCCATCCACTGACACGTCAACTCCCAAATATCTGAAAACATTCACTTCTTCCATACTCCCTCTCTCCAGTGTGATATCCAATTTTTCTTTATCTAAATCATTTGATACCCTCACCACCTTACTCTTATCTATGTTCACTTTCAACTTATTACCTTTACACACACTCCCAAACTCATCCACTAACCTTTGCAACTTTTCTTCAGAATCTCCCATAAGCACAGTATCATCAGCAAAAAGTATCTGTGTCAACTCTCATTTTGTATTTGATTCTCCATAATTTAATTCCACCCTTCTCCCCAATACCCTAACATTTACTTCTTTTACAAACCTATCTATAATTATATTAAACAACCATGGTGTTATTACACATCCCTGTCTAAGACCTACTTTTACCAGGATGTAGTCTCCCTCTCTTCTACACACCCTAATCTGAGCCTCACTATCCTCATAAAAGCCCTTTACAGCATTTAGTAACTTACTACCTGTTCCATATACACCTACCATCCGACTTACGACCAAGTTCGGTTCCGAGAAACTGGTCGTAAGTCGAAATGGTCGTAAGTCGAACTTTACTACTGAATATCAACAAAACATTTTTGTAATGACTTTATTTTATTGTTTTATTTTGGTATTTCATGTTTTACTTTACTTTTTATGTTGTTAGTACTGTATTTTATACTGTAAGGTTTAGTATAAACACTTTGTACAACACAAATAGTTGTTTATTTCCCAGAAATTTGGCATAAAAAACAAGGTCGTAAGTCGAGTGGTCGTAAGTCGAGCAGGTCGTAAGTCGGATGGTAGGTGTACTTGCAACATCTGTCACATTGCTCTCCTATCCACTCTATCATATGACTTTCCTAAATCCATAAATGCAATGAAAACTTCCCTACCTTTATCTAAATACTTTTCACATATATGCCCCAATGTAAACACTTGATCTACACATCCCCTACCCACTCTAAAGCCTCCTTGCTCATCTGAAATCCTGCTCTCTGTCTTACCTCTAATTCTTTCAGTAATAACCCTACCGTACACTTTACCTGGTATACTCGGTAAACTTATCATCCTATAATTTTTAGAGTCTCATTTGTCCTCCTTCCCTTTATATAAAGGAACTATACAAGCTCTCTGCCAATCGCTACATACTGTACCTTTCCCTCTCATACATTTATTAAACCAAAATATCAACCACTCCATCATCATATCATCCCCTGCTTTTAACATTTCTGTCATGATTCCGTCAGTTCCAGCTGCTTTACCCCCTTTCATTCTATGTAATGCCTTACACACCTCCCCCACACTCACATCCTGCTCTTCTTCACTACTAAAAGATGTTATACCTCCCTGACTAGTGCATGAAATTACCGCCTCCCTTTCTTCATCAACATTTAAAAGTTCCTCAAAATATTCCCACCATCTACCCAACACCTCCAGCTCCCCATCTACTAACTCCCCTACTTTGTTTTTAACTGACAAATTTATTCGTTCCCTAGGCTTTCTTAATTTGTTTTACTCACTCCAAAATTTTCTCTTATTTTCATCAAAATTTCTTGACAGTGCCTCTCCCATTCTTATCATCTGCTCTCCTTTTGCACTCTTTCACCACTCTCTTCACTTTTCTTTTACTCTCCATATACTCTGCTCTTCTTATGACACTTCTGCTTTGTAAAAACCTTTCATAAGCTACCTTTTTCTCTTTTATCACACCCTTTATTTCATCATTCCACTAATCACCCCTGTTTCCTCCTGCACCCACCCTTCTATAGCCACAAACTTTTGCCCCACATTCTAATATTGCATTTTTAAAACTATTCCAACCCACTACTCATGTTTGCACTAGCCCACCTTTCTGCCAATAGTTGCTTATATCTCACCCTAATTTCTTCCTCCCTTAGTTTATACACTTTCACCTCTCTCTTACTTGTTGCCATTTTGCTTTTGTCCCATCTACCTCTTACTCTAACTGTAGCTACAACTAAATAATGATCCAATATATCAGTTGCCCCTCTATAAACATGTACATCCTGAAGCCTACCCATCAACCTTTATCCATCAATACATAATCTAACAAACTACTTTCATTATGTGCTGTATCATACCTTGTATACTTATTTATCCTCTTTTTTCATAAAATATGTGTTACTTATTACCAAACCTCTTTCTACACTATTCCCTCCACAACATTTTTACCCACTTTAGCATTGAAATCCCCAACCACAAGTACTCTCACACTAGGTTCAGAACTCCCCATGCACTCACTCAACATTTCCCAAAATCTCTCTCTCCTCTACACTTCTTTCTTCTCCAGGTACATAAATGCTTACGATAACCCACTTTTCACATCCAACCCTTATTTTACTCCACATAATCCCTGAATTTATACATATATATTCCCTCTTTTCCTGCCATAACTTATCCTTCAACATTACTGCTACTCCTTCTTTAGCTCTAACTCTATTTGAAACCCCTGACCTATTCCCACTTATTTCTCCCCACTGAAACTCTCCTACCCCCTTCAGCTTTGTTTCACTTAAAGCCAGGACATCCAGCTTCTTCTCATTCATAACATCCACAATCATCTCTTTCTCATCATTCGCACAACATTCATGCACATTCAAACATCCAACTTTGACAGTTTTCTTCTTTTTCTTTTTAGTAAGCTATACAGGAAAAGGGGTTACTAGCCCATTGTTTCCAGCATTTTAGTTGACTTTTACAACACGCATGGCTTACAGAGGAAAGATTCTTGTTCCACTTCCTCATGGATATAAAAGGAATAGCAATAAGAACAAGAACTTTTAAGATAAAATCAAAGAAAACTCAGATGAGTGTGTATACATAAATGTGTACATGTATGTGTAGTGTGACCTAAGTGTAAGTTGAAGTAACAAGACGTACCTGAAATCTTGCATGTTTATGAGACAGAAAAAAAAGACACCAGCAATCCTTCCATTATGTAAAACAATTACAGGCTTTCATTTTACACTCACTTGGCAGGACGGTAGTACCTCCCTGGGTAGTTGATCTAGTTAATCTTTATGGTACAGAATTATCATTATATTCATTGTGCTTTTCATCCAAAGAATTGGATTATTATGATTATTATTATTGTTTTTATTATTATAATTATTATGTTCATGGAGTCATTCACTACCTGAGAAATAAACAAACAATTGATGTTAATCAAGTCTTATCCAAGGAACAGGGTGGGTAGCTCCAATTCTTGGGATGTTCGAGGAGGGTACCTTGATGCAGATGAAGAGTTCTTAATTCAAGGAATTAGGGCTAACCTTCCCTTGCATCAAATCTAATTACCTTATGTTCTCCTGTCTATACTGTAATAATAATAATAATAATAATAATAATAATAATTTGAATCAAATGGCCTTTACTAGCATCGAGGCACCTGCCTCCCTTCTTATGACAAAAAAAAATCTTTGTTGTTCAGTGACATAAATTTGTTTGTGTTATTTTAAATTATTGAAGAACATCTATTTTTATAATTGGTATAGATTACAATGATTTTTTTGTTTCTGCCTTACCAAGCACTATCTGCTATACAGAACTCATTGTGGAGTGGTGGTAAAAAGTGCTGTCACAGCTGTGGAGTGGTTGCCACGGGGTGAACGATTCCTGCTCATTGCCACCAAGGCTGCTACCCTACGTCTTTTTGACACCCGAGACAAGAAGACAGTGTGGGAAATTGGACCCGACACATGTCCAGTTTTTAAGGATCAAAGGTCAGGCAGCATCATGTTTGTAAATACAGAATGACAGACTAGTTTAAACGAAGATTCATTGGCATTTTGTATCAGTATCTGTGCTGATAATTCTCATTACAAATTTATATTTTAAATTTTAATATAAACTACAATTTATTATTCACTATGAAACATCAAAATTCTTTGCTATAATATGACATTGTTATTAGTTACTGTACTTAACCCTTTGACTGTCACAGGCCCCTTTCTGAAACTGTCATTCTGTCGAAAAAATTTTGGAAAAAAAAAATTATTTTTTCTTATGAAATGATAATCTTTTCCCGATGGTAATGACACCAAAAGTAAGAAACTTGATCGAAAACTTACGGAATTACGCTCCTGTGAAGTTAGCGATCTTGGCAATGTAGTATATGCATCGGCGATTTCTCCGACTTTGAGCCCTATTTTCGGCCAATTCCATTGTTCCAGTTAACCAAACTCATAGCTATTTCTTTAGAACTCCATTTTTTCTCTTAACTGAGTACAAGAAACTGCCCATTTACCGATTTGAACTACCCAATAAAGTGGTCAGAAATTGGCAATTTGACCATTTTCATGCAAAAAATAGAAGATTTACTGTTATGCAGACTACTGCATAATTGTAAAAATGGTATAAATAATATCAGTGTACTAGTGAAAGAACATTAGACTTCCCAATTGATGTGTATTGGACGTGTGGTGTTATTTGCGTACTCTTGAACGTTGGTAAAAATCGAACATTTCCGCTATTTTGAGCTCAATTTCAAGGTCATTTTCACTGTGAAACTAATCAAAATCATCTCTATTTCTGTAATATGTTTTCCATTCTATCAAATGAGACCAAGAAAACAAGAATACAGCCATAAATACTATACGAAAATAGTACACCTCAAAGTTGGCAATTTAATCCAAAAATACAGTCGGAGTGTTTTTCCTTTCATTATGCACTGCATACTGCAGGATTTTTTTTATACAGTGCACACTGACCACACACACCCATTCTCTCACATGTGGGCCTACCAGCTTTCTCCTGCTTGATTTGAAGCCACTAAAATTATTGAGTACATATACATCCGAAACATTGACTCGTAAGACGTACATATATGGCCAAAACAGTCAAAGGGTTAAAAATCTGTATGCAACATTGCATTGTAATGAAACTAGTAAGATTGTTAATAATGTGAATATTCTGATTGTACTTTTTTTATAAACTAACAGAATAATGGGTGTGCGCATGAGTCCAGGTGAGGGTAGTGCAGTGGTGAGCGTCGCCCCGCGAGTGCGTCCTCAGGGAACCTCAACACCTCCCGCACCTCCAGCACTACACACACTAGACATGAAGAGTCTCAGAGTGGAGGTATGGTGATGGTACACACAAAATCTTCTGATGATTGAGTCCTGCATGACTTACAGGTCAAGTGTTTTATTCTTTGACTAAATTTGTTAATTATGACCAAAGAAGTACACTAAATTAGTCAATAGTGACTGGCATTGTTCTTGAGTAGTCCCAAGTAAATAAAGTGCAAGATTTCAACTAATGAACGAACAAGATATTGTATCTGATTTCATCCCTATTATATTATGATGAAACACAATATGTATTCATTTCTTATGTATAACCACTGTACTTGTATGGCTCTTTTGAAATAAATAATTTTAATTTTTTAAATTAGTAAATGATTACTTTTGGCAGCATTGCTCTAGTTCCATGCAAATAAAGTACACTGCAGTAAAGGTACACTTAAAAATAGAGAATAAAATTATGTATAAAAGATATTCTTGCAAGACTTAAATGGGAGATGGCCAGTTTGTTTAAAAAAAAAAAAAAAAGATATTTCAAAATGCTGAAAGATTTGCATTTAAGTTTGTAGAACAGTAATATGCAAACACACACACTAAAAAAGTTATTTGTGAACTCACAAACATGATTTAATTAATTTTTTCTGACAGAGTTCTTACAGGATAGAAGGCGGTGTAGTTAATGGGTGTATAATGAACCACAATGGTGGCTTGCTTGTATGTGGTTGCAATGATGGTTCAGTGAGAATTATTGACTTACGATGCCCTGACGTCATAGCTTCTTGGCCAGCACATCAAGGAGAAGTATTCACAGTTCGGCTCTCACCTCAAGAGAATAATATCTACACCATTGGCAGTGACAATAGAGTAAGTAGACTCAAAAAATATAATAAATATGGTGAATTTGTTTACAACCTTGATGTCTTTCTTTTTAATAAAAAAAATATACATTTTTTAAGGGGAAAAATGGCCTAGTTTAGTATTAACCAAGCATCAGAGAATCATTTCAACTTCTTTCTGTGCGCTAATACATCAGATGATTTCAAGTGCAAGTTGATGGTTATTTATTGCTTCCAAAATCCCAGTGCTTTGAAAGATAGACAAAACCACTTTGGCAGTCTACCAAGACAGCTTGGATGAGTGAGGTCCTATTTCTTCAGTGGCTGAAGCATTTATTTTATTCCTTCAGTCACAGTGTATATGTACTCAAAGAACATTATTTAACCCTTTCAGGGTTTCGGATGTACTAGTACAGCTTACGCACCAGGGTTTTTTACGTACTAGTACACCTAAATTCTAGCACCCTCAAATCTAGTGAGAGAAAGCTGGTAGGCCTACATGTGAAAGAATGGGTTTATGTGGTCAGTGTGCGCAGTATAAAAAAAATCCTGCAGCACACGGTGTGTAATGAGAAAAAAAAAACTTTGACTGTGTTTTTGGATTAAAACAGCGACTTTGCATTGTATTTTCGTATGGTATTTATTGTTGTATTCTAGTTTTCCTGATCTCATTTTATAGAATGGAAGACATATTACAGAAATTGAGATGATTTTGACTGGTTTTACAATGAAAAGTACCTTGAAATTGAGCTCAAAGTACCAGAAATGTTCAATTTTTACCAAAGTTCAAAAGTAAACAAATCATGCTAAACGTCTAATACACGTCAACTGGTGAGTCTAATATTCTTTCACAAGTGTGCTGATATTATTTATACCATTTCTACACTAATGCATAACAGTAAATCTTCTATTTTTTGTGAGAATAAAAATTCAAAGTGGAAAGCAAAAGAATGTAAGAGAGGTATGGGGACGTCACTAATGAACAGAGGAAATGTTATTTTAGTGCCAGGAATGTCTTTCTTGTTTATTCTGGACCCTATTTGAAAATTGGCATCTTTTGAAATTTGTGTGAAATTGGCAAAATTGCTAAATTCTGACCACTGTACTGGATAGCTGAAATTGGTAAATGGGTGGTTTCTTGTACTCATTCGATAGAAAAAATTGAGTTCTAGCGAAATAGTTATGAGTTTTGTCGACTAGTACACTGGAATTGGCCGAAAATAGGGCTCAAAGTGGGCAAAATCGCCAATGTGTAAACATCGTCAGACCGGTAAATTCGCTAGAGCATAATTCTGTAAGTTTTCCATCAAATTTCATACTTTTGGTGTCATTATGATCAGGGAAATATTCTCTATCTTTTGATAAGAAAAAATAATTTATTTTTTTTGAAATTTGGGCGACCCTGAGAATAAGTCTGGGAGAGGGCCTGGGGACCCTGAAAGGGTTAAGGGACCACAGTGAAAATAGGTTACATTGTTTGAATTTGTTGAGTTACCCTAAGTTAATTTAAATATTCTGTCTAAACCTCACTACATCCAAATAGGTCTAGTGAGGCAAAATCAACTCCCTCCACACATTTCTAGATTAACACTAAGATATCAAAAAACTATTATTTTGGACAAATTTAGATAGTATTAAAAAACTTTGTTGTTTTTGGAGATCTGTGGAATGTAACCATATTTTTTTCTACTTCTCAAGTGAATACAGTGGACCCCCGGTTTACGATATTTTTTCATTCCAGAAGTATGTTCAGGTGCCAGTACTGACCGAATTTGTTCCCAGAAGGAATATTGTGAATTAGATTAGTCCATTTCAGACCCCCAAACATACATGTACAAACGCACTTACATAATTGGTCTCATTGGGAGCTGATCGTAAAGCGGGGGTCCACTGTATTCTAAAAAAAAAAAAAAAAGAATTATCATGATATGTACTGTGAATACACACGGTATTGATTGTAGGTATGTAACCAGTACAGTATGCAAGAGCCACCTGTGTATTGTATATGTGATTGGTGGAATGATGAAGTAAAGGGTGTGATAAAAGAGAAAAAGGTAGCTTATGAGAGGTTTTTACAAAGCAGAAGTGTTATAAGAAGAGCAGAGTATATGGGGAATAAAAGAAAGGTGAAGAGAGTGGTGAGAGAGTGCAAAAGGAGAGCAGATGAAAGAGTGGGAGAGGCACTGTCAAGAAATTTTAATGAAAATAAGAAAAAATTTTGGAGTGAGTTAAACAAGTTAAGAAAGCCTAGGGAAAGTATGGATTTGTCAGTTAAAAACAGAGTAGGGGAGTTAGTAGATGGGGAGAGGGAGGTATTAGGTAGATGGCGAGAATATTTTGAGGAACTTTTAAATGTTAAGGAAGAAAGGGAGGCGGTAATTTCATGCACTGGCCAGGGAGGTATACCATCTTTTAGGAGTGAAGAAGAGCAGAATGTAAGTGTGGTGGAGGTACGTGAGGCATTACGTAGAACGAAAGGGGGTAAAGCAGCTGGAACTGATGGGATCATGACAGAAATGTTAAAAGCAGGGGGGGATATAGTGTTGGAGTGGTTGGTACTTTTGTTTAATAAATGTATGAAAGAGGGGAAGGTACCTAGGGATTGGCAGAGAGCATGTATAGTCCCTTTATATAAAGGGAAAGGGGACAAAAGAGATTGTAAAAATTATAGAGGAATAAGTTTACTGAGTATACCAGGAAAAGTATACGGTAGGGTTATAATTGAAAGAATTAGAGGTAAGACAGAATGTAGGATTGCGGATGAGCAGGGAGGCTTCAGAGTGGGTAGGGGATGTGTAGATCAAGTGTTTACATTGAAGCATATATGTGAACAGTATTTAGATAAAGGTAGGGAAGTTTTTATTGCATTTATGGATTTAGAAAAGGCATATGATAGAGTGGATAGAGGAGCAATGTGGCAGATGTTGCAAGTATATGGAATAGGTGGTAAGTTACTAAATGCTGTAAAGAGTTTTTATGAGGATAGTGAGGCTCAGGTTAGGGTGTGTAGAAGAGAGGGAGAATACTTCCCGGTAAAAGTAGGTCTTAGACAGGGATGTGTAATGTCACCATGGTTGTTTAATATATTTATAGATGGGGTTGTAAAAGAAGTAAATGCTAGGGTATTCGGGAGAGGGGTGGGATTAAATTATGGGGAATCAAATTCAAAATGGGAATTGACACAGTTACTTTCTGCTGATGATACTGTGCTTATGGGAGATTCTAAAGAAAAATTGCAAAGGTTAGTGGATGAGTTTGAGAATGCGTGTAAAGGTAGAAAGTTGAAAGTGAACATAGAAAAGAGTAAGGTGATGAGGGTATCAAATGATTTAGATAAAGAAAAATTGGATATCAAATTGGGGAGGAGGAGTATGGAAGAAGTGAATGTTTTCAGATACTTGGGAATTGACGTGTTGGCGGATGGATTTATGAAGGATGAGGTTAATCATAGAATTGATGAGAGAAAAAAGGTGAGTGGTGCGTTGAGGTATATGTGGAGTCAAAAAATGTTATCTATGGAGGCAAAGAAGGGAATGTATGAAAGTATAGTAGTACCAACACTCTTATATGGATGTGAAGCTTGGGTGGTAAATGCAGCAGCGAGGAGACGGTTGGAGGCAGTGGAGATGTCCTGTCTAAGGGCAATGTGTGGTGTAAATATTATGCAGAAAATTCGGAGTGTGGAAATTAGGAGAAGGTGTGGAGTTAATAAAAGCATTAGTCAGAGGGCAGAAGAGGGGTTGTTGAGGTGGTATGGTCATTTAGAGAGAAGGGATCAAAGTAGAATGACATGGAAAGCATGTAAATCTATAGGGAAAGGAAGGAGGGGTAGGGGTTGTCCTCGAAAGGGTTGGAAAGAGGGGGTAAAGGAGGTTTTGTGGGCTAGGGGCTTGGACTTCCAGCAAGCGTGCATGAGTGTATTAGATAGGAGTGAATGGAGGCGAATGATACTTGGGACCTGACGATCTGTTGGAGTGTGAGCAGGGTAATATTTAGTGAAGGGATTCAGGGAACCGGCTATTTTCATATAGTCGGACTTGAGTCCTGAAAATGGGAAGTACAATGTCTGCACTTTAAAGGAGGGGTTTGGGATATTGGCAGTTTGGAGGGATATGTTGTGTATCTTTATACGTATATGCTTCTGAACTGTTGTATTCTGAGCACCTCTGCAAAAGCAGTGATAATGTGTGAGTGTGGTGAAAGTGTTGAATGATAATGAAAATATTTTCTTTTTGGGGATTTTCTTTCTTTTTTGGGTCACCCTGCCTCGGTGGGAGATGGCCGACTTGTTGAAAATATATATATATATATATATGTGCTCTTGGGAGATTCTGAAGAGAAGTTGCAGAGATTGGTGGATGAATTTGGTAGGGTGTGCAAAAGAAGAAAATTGAAAGTGAATACAGGAAAGAGGAAGGTTATGAGGATAACAAAAAGATTAGGTGATGAAAGATTGGATATCAGATTGGAGGGAGAGAGTATGGAGGAGGTGAATGTATTCAGATATTTGGGAGTGGACGTGTCAGCGGATGGGTCTATGAAAGATGAGGTGAATCATAGAATTGATGATGGGAAAAGGGTGAGTGGTGCACTTAGGAGTCTGTGGAGACAAAGAACTTTGTCCTTGGAGGCAAAGAGGGGAATGTATGAGAGTATAGTTTTACCAACGCTCTTATATGGGTGTGAAGCATGGGTGATGATGTTGCAGCGAGGAGAAGGCTGGAGGCAGTGGAGATGTCATGTCTGAGAGCAATGTGTGGTGTGAATATAATGCAGAGAATTCGTAGTTTGGAAGTTAGGAGGAGGTGCGGGATTACCAAAACTGTTGTCCAGAGGGCTGCGGAAGGGTTGTTGAGGTGGTTCGGACATGTGGAGAGAATGGAGCGAAACAGAATAACTTCAAGAGTGTATCAGTCTGTAGTGGAAGGAAGGCAGGGTAGGGGTCGGCCTAGGAAAGGTTGGAGGGAGGGGGTAAAGGAGGTTTTGTGTGCGAGGGGCTTGGACTTCCAGCAGGCATGCGTGAGCGTGTTTGATAGGAGTGAATGGAGACAAATGGTTTTTAATGCTTGACGTGCTGTTGGAGTGTGAGCAAAGTAACATTTATAAAGGGGTTCAGGGAAACCGGCAGGCCGGACTTGAGTCCTGGAGATGGGAAGTACAGTGCCTGCACTCTGAAGGAGGGGTGTTAATGTTGCAGTTTAAAAACTAGTGTAAAGCACCCTTCTGGCAAGACAGTGATGGAGTGAATGATGATGAAAGTTTTTCTTTTTTGGGCCACCCTGCCTTGGTGGGAATCGGCCAGTGTGATAATAAAAAAAAATAAAAATAAAAAGAATGTTATCTATGGAGGCAAAGAAGGTAATGTATGAAAGTAGTGGTACCAACACTCTTATATGGGTGTGAAGCTTGGGTTGTAAATGCTGCAGAGAGGAGGCAGTTGGAGGCAGTGGAGACATCCTGTCTAAGGGCAATGTGTGGTGTAAATATTATGCAGAAAATTCGGAGTGTGGAAATTAGGAGGTGTGGAGTTAATAAAAGTATTAGTCAGAGGGCTGAAGAGGGGTTGTTGAGGTGGTTTGGTCATTTAGAGAGAATGGATTAAAGTAGAATGGCATCTAGAGCGTATAAATCTGTAGGGGAAGGAAGGCGGGGTAGGGGTTATCCTCGAAAGGGTTGGAGGGAGGGGGTAAAGGAGGTTTTGTGGGCGAGGGGCTTGGACTTCCAGCAAGCATGCATGAGTGTGTTAGGAGTGAATGGAGACGAATGGTATTTGGGACCTGACGAGCTGTTGGAGTGTGAGCAGGGTAATATTTAGTGAAGGGATTCAGGGAAACCAGTTATTTTATAAAGCCAGACTTGAGTCCTGGAAATGGGGAGTACAATGCCTGCACTTTAAAGGAGGGGTTTGGGATATTGGCAGTTTGGAGGGATATGTTGTGTATCTTTATATGTATATACTTCTAAACTGTTGTATTCTGAGCACCTCTGCAAAAACAGTGATTGTGTGTGAGTGAGGTGAAAGTGTTGAATGATGATGAAAGTATTTTCTTTTTGGGGATTTTCTTTCTTTTTGGGTCACCCTGCCTCGGTGGGAGGCAGCCGACTTGTTAAAAAAAAAAATTATGTTGTCAACAGTTTGCGTGTTGGAGCATGGCCCAGACGGGTGCACGTGTAATGGACCACGTCCTCCACGAACGTGCTGCTGGACCCTTCCTGGTTGGTGTTGGAGGAGGGGCAGGTTCAGGGCGCAGTGTTCTCCTACGTCCTTATGGTCCATTGTTTGCCCTACATCAGGATGGAGACCATGTGCTAACATGCTCACCATCTGGACCTATTGTATACAAGGTCAGTATATAGTGTTCCAAAAATGTAGCTTTCGAGTAAAAAAATTTTAAGAGATTTAAGTGAGTCTTACTGAGTAGTTTGAGTTTAATGCCTGGTGCCAATAAATCTGGAACATTGTATTGAATATAGTATGCATATTGTAGCGTGTCTGACAGTGAATGAGGCTGATGCACATTAGACAGCTGAAACTTTTTCTGATGTGTACGTACCTGAGCACGAATTAAAGCAAAAGTAAATTGTTTGTGAAGAGATTAGGAATGATTTTAAATCAGTGTAATGTATTAAAATTTGCTTTTGATCTACCCCATGTTTTGTATACAACAGTTTCAGTAATTTGGTACCGCATTGTTTTATAGCCTGATAAGTTGGTGTGAAATGTACCAAGATCTATATTGATGAATAAATATTGTACAGAAGGGCCCCGCTTATACAGCAGGTTAGATTCCGGGCTACTGATATAGAGCGAAAACCGCTGTAAAGTGAACAGTAGACTTAGTTCACTTTCAAATGCATATAAGTCTGATAACATGTTACATTATCATATATTAAATGAGCAATAGAGCTAAGCCTAAAAAATTCATATACAGTACACACATTACTTACCTTAAAATATTTTCATCCTTAGCTTGTAGTGAGTGGTGAATGTGAATATATTTATTGTAGGCAGTCTGAATAAATGAATGGGCATAATTGAAAACCACTGCATTAGCAAAACACTGTAAAGCAGGACCTTCCTGTACTTTTAAGTGATACTGGTTCTTATGTTGCATTTTAGGTGTTACATTTAAAGCATTTACTATGAACCCAACTGCATGAGTTTGAATTGCATGATTGAGAGCAGAGTGTATGGAAGTGAATGAGAGAGTAGCTCAACTGAGGAAAAATGGCAGATGAAAGCCCTGGCTTGAAAGAGCAAGACTGGAAGAGTTACAGCTGGAGGGCCGGCTGAACAAGTGATTATTCACAAGTTGATGCAAGAGTGTGTAATATTAGGTGTAACCTGAGCTGAGAAAATATAGTATGAATGAACAAACTTAGGAACATTTAAAGGGGTGCCTTAATGCTGGTGAATGTTCTTGATCCAAGGAATCAGATATATTCCATTCCTTGGATCAAACCTAATTACCTCCCACCCCCGAGGCAGTGTATGACCTGCTAGATTTTGCATGGTCATACACTGCACACGATAATCACTCCCTAAGAAAGCAAAAGACTCGGCAGGAGATGCAACATTCCCCCGATGAAAAGCAGGGGCGCCACGAGTACAATGAGAGACAACACAATAAGTGTCCAGGGCCCAAGGCTGTTCAGCTGCCTCCCAACATCTAATTGCACCTTTAATTGAAGATATGTAATAGTGTATATACATCCTATACATAGCTTAATGAATAGAGCATATGTTTATGTTTTTAAACTTGGATTCTTATAACCTTATTTATATCTTTCCTAATACCAAGTAAATTATCTGATGTCTGAAGTCAATGCTTTAAATTTATTTTCTCCTTGCACTTTTCTCTAGACATGCAAATTATTATTTATGTAATCATGGGCAAGCACAGGCATGTTTTAAATTACCTGGGAAATAGGAGGTAATCAGGTTTGATCCAAGAAAGTAGTTCTAATTCCCTGGATCAAAAGCTCTTCACTGCCATCAAGGCATCCCATTTCAAGAGTGCAGACCTGTGAAAGCACTATCATAACTAGTTGTTAATGACAGTATACTGTACAGTTATGTTAGTGCCACAGATAAAAAGTCACCATTATCTGACACTCACAGGTTGGTGACAACAACCTGGAGCAGGCACTGGTGGTGGGTGGGCACAGATCACCTGTAGTGACTGTGGACTGGTGTAACGCCCTTCAGTGTGGCACCTCGGTAGCTGCAGCACTCGACGGCTCTGTTACAGTTGCCACATTAATGCATCAGTGAAGGACAAATTGTGCCCACTCCACCCTCTCAACCTCTTCACGACATACACAATCGTTTCTAAATTCTTTAATGTACGGTAAGCTAAATTCAATAGAAGATACATAATTATTTTTCATAATACTATACTGTAGTAGTTTTATTAATGTTCATACTGTACCATTTGTGTGTATGTACCATTATAAATTAACATTATTATTATTACAGACACTATAGTACTGGTATATTTTTTTTTAAGACATCAGCCGTCTCCCACTGAGGCAGGGTGACCCAAAAAAAGAAAAGTACTTTCACCATCATTCATACAATCACTGTCTTTGCAGAGGTGCCCATATATGACTGACAGTCTAGATGTCACTCCAAACAGCCAATATCCCAAACCCCTACTTTAAGGTGCAGGCACTGTACTACCCACCTCCAGGACACAAGTCCGGCTAACCAGTTTCCCTAAATCCCTTCACAAAATATTACCCTGCTCACATTCCAACAGCTCGTCAGGTCCCAAAAAATCATTCGTCTCCATTAACTCCTAACATGCTCACACATGCCTGCTGCATGTCCAGGCCCCTTGCACACAAAACTGCTTTTACCCCCTCCATCCTTTCCTAAGATGACCCCTACCCCTTAACTACAGATTTATGCACCTTCTTAGTCATTCCATCCTCTCTAAATGACCAAACCACCTCAATAACCCCTCTTCAGCCCTCTGAATTATACTTTTTGTAACTCCACACCTCCTAATTTCCACACTACAAATTCTCTGCATAATATTTACACCACACATTGGCCTTAGACATGACATCTCCACTGCCTCCAGCCTCCTCCTTGCTGCAGCATTCACAACTCATGCTTCACACCTATATAAGAGTGCTGGTACCACTATACTCTTGTGCATTCCCTTCTTTTTCTCCATGGATAACATTTTTTGTTGCTACAGATACCTCAATGAACCACTCGCCTTTTTTCCTTCATCAATTCTACGGTTAACTTCGTCCTTCATAAACCCATCTGCTGACAAATCTACTCCCAAATATCTGAATACATTCACTTCTTCAGTAAAAATATTAAAATCACATACTAAATTTATTGTTTATTACAATAAACTTGTTTTTAATTTGTACATTATTTTACTGTGCTTTGAAATAGCTGTTTAAGTTGAAAGTTTAAATATACAATGTAAGGGATGCTTGGAGAACTACTTTGGCTGTGTACAAATATATGTAATTTTAAGGGTGTGTCTAGCATGAGCACTCAACATTCCTCAAGGAGTCCTGCTGAAAAATTTATAGAGGACTATCCTAAGTGTACTTTTTAAAATGCTGTATAACTATAAATCTCTTTGGTTATAAAATTGAATATGATTAACTACAAAGATTTAGTCTTTTAAAAATATATTTTGTAATACAGCTTAGTGCAAATGCTTACATGATTACCAATTCACTCTGCACAACTCATCGAGAGGCATTTCAAATCTAAAACGGTGAAAGCATCTGAAACATTTGATTCAAGAGCACTCTCAAAATATTGAGTTTTGTCTTAAGGAAATCATGCCAGAGATACTGTACAACTATGTAAAACCCACCACATTGGGTAAATGTTACCAAACAAGTATTTGTAAAGTACAATGTATAGTAGTACTCTTCAGTGATCCCTCAAGGGAGATTTTTTGGTATGGGGCTCTTAATCAAAGGAATTGAACCTGTCCATCCCTTGGATTGAACCTGATTGCCCCTCATTCCCTAGGCACTTGATGAGGCCCAAGAGTTTAGTACTTTACCTATGAATGTAATGGTGGTAGTACTCTTTAGTGACTAGCATTTGTTAACCATTGATAATATGCCAGCAGGAATTATCACTGGTAAGCAGTGAACCCTTAAGGGTTATTACAGCAGTTGGAGAAATAGGTGATCAGGTTTTATCTGTGGAAGGGTTAGGTGCCAGATATGTAGATATTACATTGATCCAGCAAGCCAGATCATTTGTCTGCTCTGTTCTGTTGCAGTTATTGTAAATACAGTGTACTTAATCCATAATTTTTTCCTTGTACAGTAGATAATTATAGTTAAGCTGGTAAATATTTGTTCATGGATTTTTATTAAGTGCTTAAATTGCATATTTATATATTAATGTATTAAAGTGACTTATTTTTATCTATATGTTGTACAATTCATTATGCCTTCAAAGCCTAGTAATGTCTTGGAAAAGATAAATAGTAAAAGTGGTTGTTGTGCAGGACATCCAGAATAAACGTACACCTATATCACGTTAGGAATGGAGGTTAAGCAGGTTGTGCAGAAGACTGGAAGGCACCAGAGAGAACAGGTGGAGGTAGGTAAGGTCTCAGCTGAGACCTTACCTACCTGTTGTGAGCCAAGGATGGAGAAAGGGTGTACCTATATTTAGAGTACTAACCTATGTGGGTCATTCAGCTTTGTATGGCAAAGGGGTGCTTATGTTAAGAGTAGAAGTGTGAAGAGGTAAAATACTATTACAGTTATGGAGGGTACACTAAACGTGTAAAGGTCATACAGCACCAGGAAAATGGGAGACAATTGGAAGACTAGTTACAGTTCCTTGAATTAAGAGTCCTTTGCCGAATGGAATTTTTACTATATCCAGGGGACGGGAAGGACTTTACCAATGGATGTATTAGTACTTGAAAAGTGGGAGACAATCAGGTTCGTTTCAAGGAAGGGGAAGTTAAGTCCAGTTCCTTGGATCAAAAACCCCTCACCAGCATCAAGGTACCTGGTGATGTCATTTTCCATTATTATAATAAAAAAGAAGCGCTAAGCCACAAGGGCTATACAGCGCTGCAGGGCAGGAAGGAAGCGAGGGCATCAGGTGGTAAAAGGGAGATAGATGAGTAATAGGTTACGGATAACAGCGGGGCAGTGGATGGTGAAAGGGTAAAGAGCAGCATCATCAGAGTTTGTGGAGTAAATCAGTCGTTGTCAAGAAGTCAATGAGAGAGTCAGGATTAAAGGAGGGTCCATCAGCAAGAAGGGAAGATAAAGAGTAGTAGAACGAAGACGACGTTGGAGGTAAATTCTGCGTGCTCGGTGATAGAGAGGGCAGTCTAACAGAATGTGGCTAATCGATACTGGAACTTGACACTGCTCACAGAGAGGAACAGGGTGCCTCTCCATGAGATACCCATGAGCAAGACGAGTGTGGCCAATGCGAAGGCGGGAGAGAGTGGTCTCCCAACCTCGGCACTGATGACAAGAAGACGGCCAGTAACCTATGCTCGGTTTAATAGAATGAAGTTTGTTACCGAGCAGAGTTGACCAACGTTGCTGCCAACGGGTGCGAAGGTGGGTAGCTATTGCAGCAAAATAGTCAAGAAATGGAACACCTCGATAGGAAATTGGTAGGTCATGTACTGCTGACCGCGCAGCAGTGTCTGCCTGTTCATTGCCCTGTACGTCGACATGACCAGGGACCCAACAAAAAACAATATCTTTATGTTTGGTAGAGATACGGCGTAGCCAAAGCTGGATACGGAGAACTAGGGGATGAGATGTATCAAATTTTCGTATAGCCTGTAGAGCACTAAGGGAGTCTGAGACTACTACAAATGATGACACAGGCATAGATGTGATACGAATAAGTGCTGCAAGAATGACATACAGTTCAGCAGTAAAAATGCTAGCTGAAGATAGTAAATGCCCCCGCACGACGCTGTCCGGAAACACTGCTACGAATCCGACGCCGTCTGAAGACTTAGAGCCATCTGTGTACACAGCGGTGGCATGAGAATGGGAGTGGAAGTGATCAAGAAAAAGAGCAGGAAGCCACCGTAGTCAGTTGGGCTTTCGAGCAAGGGAGTGAGAAAGAACAGACCTGAACAGCTGGAACTTCCCAGGGGAGTAGGGAAAAGTGAGATGCTACATGAACATATAAAGGTGGGAACTGAAGGGAAGACAAGAGCCAATGTAGGCGGAGAGAAAAGGGATGGAGCAAACAGGGGCGGCGAACAAATAATGTCTACTAATATCGGTGACCATTCTATAAATGGAAGGATTTTGGAGATCGTGAGAGCGTACATAGTAGCGAAGGCAATGGGCATCACGGCGATCAGACAAGGATGGAACATTCGCTTCTGCATAGAGGCTCTCAACAGGGGAAGAGCGAAAAGCACCAAGGCATAAACGTAATCCTTGGTGATGGATGGGGTTAAGGCTAGAGAGAGTAGCAGGAGAGGCCGCTGAATAAATCTGGTCACCATAATCGAGTTTCGATAAAACGAGGGCTGAATGTAGGCGCAGCAGAGTTCGACGATCAGCTCCCCAGGAAAGATGAGCAAGGGTTTTAAGAAGGTTTAGCCGGCTGTGACAAGTTGCCTTCAGAGAGGTAATGTGAGGTTTCCAGGATAACCTACGGTCAAAGAGAAGGCCTAGAAACCTGACTATCACGTTCGGGGATACGAGAGCCATAGAGATACAAAGGATGATCGGAGATGACATAGTGTCTAGTGAAGTAATTTGGTGAGTTTTGGTACTGGAAAATTTAAACCCATGCGTGGTGGCCCAAGTGGAAACACGGTCGACCGCATGCTGGAGAGAAACTGCAATGAGGTGACAGTCAGCACCTACACAAGCAATAGCGAAGTCATCAACATAGAGTGATGACCAAATATTTGATGGAAGACTAGAGGCCAAATCATTAATAGCAAGGAGAAAAAGTGTTGTGCTCAGAACACATCCCTGAGGGACACCTTCAGCTTGGAAAAAGTCCGGGGAAAGCACATTATTGACTCGAACACGGAAGTGTCTGTCGGTTAAAAAGTTCTTAAGGAAGGATGGTAGATTGCCTCGGAGGCCTAAGGAGTGGGCTTGGGCCAAAATATTATACCTCCAAGTTGTGTCATATGCTTTCTCAAGGTCAAAAAATATGGCAATAACCGAGTGATTATTTGCAAAGGCATTACGAACATACGTATCCAAGCGTAGTAAGGGGTCTATGGAAGAAACGGCCCTTACGAAACCATATGACTAGCGAGAGACTGGTTTTTGTGTCTCTAAATACCACATTAAACGGCGATTTAACCAACGTTCCATCACTTTTGCAAACTGCCTAGTAAGAGCAAATGGGACGATAGGGGAGGCCTCATGTCCTGTGGTACC